GTTACCTTTTATCCAGACAGACTTTTCTGATCAAGAAAAAGAAAGCTGTGAACAATTTCCCTGCCATGAAGCTGTGCAGGGGTTGGAACTGGATATATTTTAGTTAATGTGGCTGATACAAAGATTATGAGGAAGGGGAACTGATGTCAGCCACTGGTGTAGAATGGTCTGAAAAGTGTCTCAGGTCTGAATATTTCTCTGAATTTTGGGAAAATGTAAATCTCCACCCGGAGTTCATGGCTGGCACTTTGTTTGAATACAGCAGGTCCTGTCCACGCTTTACATGTGAACAGTTGGGATGTTGGACCTTCATCTGGCACCCAAATTTTTGCTTGCTCTGAGCTCTTCTGTGGCTCTGGACTTGTCTAAAAGGAGTTTTCAGCCATCCCAAGGACCAGCTCTATCAGTTTTTTCCACTCACTTGTTTTTCTAACTGTCCTAAGGAGTAAAATCAGGTTCTCCATCAAGTGAAATCTGGTTATTAGTCTGTGCCACGTTCTGCTTTTGCATGACTGCAAATAGTTTTGAGGTGGAGTTTTTGCTGAGATGGGATCTGCATGACCAGCTGTAAATAAATCCCAGAGATTTGCATTCCTATTCTGCTTCCAGATCTTCAACTTGTCCTGAAAATTAAGGAGTGTTTGGGGTTTTTACCTGAAAAGCCTGAGCTGCAAACATCCATCAGGTGGGATAAAGCTGGCAATTTTTTCTGTGTGCTGAGAAGAGTTAGAAACCTTTGAAAAAAAAACCTTGTTCAAAACTTTTAATTGCTATTTAAAATGTCTGTCACTACTTTCCTCAGAATTAGTGTCTGAATTTGTCAGCTCAGATGGTGTAGCTGCAGCTTCTTGGGTCAGAAATCCTTTCTGTTTTCTCTCCAGCTGGTTTCCTGCAAAGGCCTGAATTATTCTAGCTTTTATGGGTCATTGTTAAACATGGCAGGAAGGGTCATTGTTAAAAATGTTTTCAGAACTTTGATAACCAGTTTATCAACTGATTCACATGTTTAATCAGTTAATAGGTTTTCCTTTTCAGTGCATGGGAATTTCTTTGTTTATCTTAACTGAGTTACTGTTTCTGCAGTGGAAAGAACTGTAGTTGACTGATAATCTTTTCAAATATGTGGAGTTTGCTCTTGTGATGGAAGTTACATGAACAGATCCTGCACTTCTCCTCCTAAGTCTGCATCCATAGGGAATGACCTACCAGGGAATGGAACATGAAAACAGTCTGATATTCCAGGGATACAGAGTGTGGAGCCATAGTAATTAGGCAGTTTATGGGTTTTAAAGGTGTTTGGGTGTTTAAAAAAGATGAACAGATGCTTTTGAGAAGGGCCAAACATCTGTGGTTCCTCCAATGCCTTGTCAAGAACTTTTCCCCGACGTACTTTATCCCTGAAAGTGCCAAAATGTCAAATGTTTGGCACGAAACACCTCCAGGAACTGCAGCCCTCTGCCTCTGTGGGACCTGTCCTGGGGCTGCACCACCTTCCTGCTGGAAAAGCTTCTCCTGATCTCTGCTCTGAGCCTGCCAAGACACAGTCTGTGACATTGCCCTTCTTCTCTCTGTCTCAAACGAGAAGTTTGGGTCTGTCATCACTATAATTTCCCTTCAAGTAAGGGAATTATTGCTGTCTGCTCCCAGATAACCTGGTGTTAAATCCCCATCTCCCCACCAGACCCCAGGGCCACGCTCAGATGGAGCCCCTCTCTTGCTGAGAACACACTGTTGGCTCCTGTTCAGCTCGAGGAGGGTTTTTTTCCTGCCATCCCCATTGTGAGGAGGCTCAGGCTGCTCCCCTGTTTATAAACAGATGTGAGGCCAAGCAGAACTGTAAACTTTATTTTGCTTTTTAAAAAAAAAAAAAACAAATTGAACGATGTTTGCTTTCCATGTAAAAAGCGACTTGGCATGAAATAACACACAGCAATAATGTTGCAAAATTGGAGTTTACATAACATTTCTCTGCCTTGAAATTGCAGATAGTCACAGACCCTGCAAGCCTCTGTTGGGTTTGTAGAGCTGAATTCATGGAGTCAGCAGCTTCTGGGAATTGGCATCGTGTGTGCACATGTGAGGAGGAGTTAGCAGCTTGTTTTATGTGTCTGGTTTCTTTTTAGATACATTCATTCCTGTTGCTGCATGAAGGAAATGTGTTTAGGTGAACACAAGTCCAAGTAAAACCCAAGTTAAGCTGGAAACCCTGTTGTGGGGGTTTATTGGGATACCCTGGGCTGAGGAAGGCACAGCCACACGTTGTGCCTCCCATCTCAACTCTAAATTCCTCCTATGAGTTGCACAGAGGTGCAGTTCTTAGGTTAATTATCAGAAGGAAGCTGTTACTCTGGGGGTGGTAAAATACTGGCACAGGGTGCCCAGAGAAGCTGTGGCTGCCCCATCCCTGGAAGTGTCCAAGGCCAGGTTGGATGGGGATTGTTGGATGGGGTCTAGTGGAAGGTGTCCCTGCCCATGGCAGGGGGGTGGGACTGGGTGGCCTTTTAAAGGTCCCTTCCAACCCAAACTATTCCATGAGTGTGTGAAATGGAGTGTGCTCTGTCCTGTTGGGAGAGCACTGGGAATGCTGATGGAGAGCCATGGCTGGAAAACACATCCCTGGATGTGTTCCATGGGAAGGTCTGTGTGGAGCCTGCCATTCCAGGGGTGTTACCCAGGGAGGGGCTGCACTGCCATCCCAAGGGACCCACTTTGCCAGCTGATGGCAGAGAGAATCACCAGGGAGGGGGCTGCAGGGGTTTAATTCCTGTGGCCATCAAGAAGCAGGAGGTGGTGGGAGGGAAGGGGTGGCACCCTGTGGATGTGAGTGAGAAGAAAGCAGAAGGTTGGATTAAGCCTCTTGCAGAACTCGTGTTGGTTCAGCCTCTGTTTCATGTGGAGCATCAACTCAGTGTTTTATTTGGCAAATCAGAACTTCCTGAGACTTGAGCAGGTGAAAGCCTTTGAGAAGCCTTGCTCCATATTAGCCTGTGGCTAATTAAGTGTGGATCTTGAAAACCAGTGATACCAACCCTGCTTATGGTGTTTGAGTGTTTACCTGTTAAAAAATATTTTTTAAAAAAAAGATGCTTATTTTAAAAGTACTGCCATGAAATGCAGTGAAGAGAAACGAAGTGTTACATTTGAAACATCTTTCTTTTTTAATTTATTGTCAGTTTTCTCTTCTTTTCTACTACAAAACTCCTCTTTGTTGGAGAGCCAGAAGCAAGGACGATCAACTAATTTGTTGCTGAAGCTTTGTGAAATTTAAACCCAATTCATTAGGCTCAGTGTAGGTGTAGATTGTGGGCAGTCATTAGGATTTCAACAGCAAATAATGCAGCCCGTGAAACATCAGACTTATTTCCTTCTCATGTAAAACACAGTAATGCATTTTGCCCTGGCTAAGCGTGCTCTTGAGCTTTAACGTCAGAGCGAATCAGGATCCAACGCTCACCAGATTAAATCTAAACGTTGCAGTATTTCCTTTCTAATTCTGGCTCTTCCCTCTATGATAATATTATTTGTCTCCTCGGTTGGGTGCAAGGGTGAGTGGGGAGCTGTGATTTTTGCGTGGATGGGAACACCCCTGGGAGCAGAGCCCGGGAGGGGGGAGAGCAGAGGGAGCAGAGCCGCGGTAATGAGGCCAAAAGCGCCATCAGATCCGTGTCCACGGGGGCAGCGCGGCCCAGAACACTTTTACTGGGGTGAATTCCTGGGACAAACGTTAAGATCCCGGCTGGTTCCGGGTTGCTGGGCTGGGAGAGCCGGGGGATGTTCGGGCCCCGTCCCGGCGCAGCCGAGCGGGCGCTGAGCGGCCCCGACAGCGCGGCCACCGGGGCTGGGAGAGCCAGCAGGGCCCTGAGCCCCAATTAACAGCCCCCACCCTCTCCAGCCAGCCATCACTAACACCCTCCCCGCCCTGACATTCCCCCGCTCCTGACATCTCCCCCCGCTCTGACATCTCCCCCCCTCCTGCATCCTCCCCCCGCTCCTGACATCTCCCCCTGCTCCGCACTCCAATTAATTCCGATGGCGCTGCTGAAAAGGCAGAGAGGGCTTTGCTTGGGTAATCAGCTTAAATACCCGGCCGTTTCCTGCCCTCGCCGCTCCAAACTTCCCATCTGGGAGGCGTAAAGGCTGGGTTTATTTTAAAATCTTTTTTTTTTTTTTATCTCCAATTTCCTCCGGTGTTTCTGATGTGCCTCGTGCAGGGCTCCGTTTCAAAGCCTGCAAACTGGATGCAGACAGGAACTTTTAAGTTCAGTGTTGATTGCCTTTATTGGAAGGGGTGATGAGGGGTTTCACATGGAAAAGGTACATCTTCTCTGACAGGCACAAACTGGTGATAATGAGGAAGAAATCCACAGTTTCATTTAATTTTGTACTTCTTAAACACTCTTGCCTAAAGAAGCATTTTGCCTCTCCTGCTGCAGCAACAGAGCAAGGATTTTTTTTGAAGTTAAAAAGTGGTAGCAGCTCGTTGTGTACAGTTTTATGAATCTATTCATCTGAGGACACACCAAGGTCCGTGTCAGTTGTAAGATATGCCAATATTACAAGACCAACCATAGACAGAAGTTGTTACAGAAGCATCTGAATTCAGTGTAATCCCTATTTCAGCTTCCTCCAGGGTTGAATTCACTGTCATTACTCAAGGGATTCCCACAGAGTAGATGTTCTTTGTGGCATCAGGGTCTTTACTCAGGTGAGAGACTCGAGTGTGTTTAATTTTAGGAGGGTGAGTAAGCTGTGGAAACATTCCTGTGCTTCCAGTTGTGCCTGCACACCGTTTTATTCCTGGGTTCACCAGGAATTTTTTGTCCATCATACATAAACTGATGGGGAAATTATGTTTTCCAGCAGGAGAGCTTGTGATCAAAGAAGTATCCTGCTTTTGAGAGGGTTTTTTAATTTGAATGACCAGTATTTCTCTAACTCAACATTCTCTCTTTTTTTTAACAGGCAGTAGCAGTTGGCCTTGAGGATGAATTCCAGCCACAATCCCATCCCATGGCTGATCCAGGATGCTTGGGAAGCAGGCACATGGTGGCCTCCATGGATGGCAACCAGCAGCAAACCCACAGCTGGACCTGCAGGGATCCAGCACAACAACAGTGAGTGTATCACCCTGTACCACCCTCTTCCCAGCTGGAGCACCCTCTCAGGAATTCCCTCCCACCCACTTCAGGGATGTGCCCAAAGCTACCCCATGTTTTTATCCTGGGGGCTGTACAGTGACACTGCACAGGAGGCAGGAAGTTGTTCTTGGACACTGTGCAGATTTCTGGAGGCAGGGACTTGCCACGGGTTAGGAGAGGTTCATCCTCTCCTTAAAGCCCAAGTTAGACCCGTCTGGCTATTCTGGGATTTGCATGGAATGTTAGACAGGGTGTTCAGGACCTCACTGAGCTCTCCTGGGAGGTGCTCAGAAGCCTCTCTGATGTTAAGGAGAAGTGATCTGTAGGAAAATCAAGCTTTTTATCCCACCTTTTGAACAGCCCAGTCTTGGTTTCAAAGAGAGGGGCTGGGTGGTGTTGCTGTCAGTCCCAGGAGTTGACTGGAAATGGGATTGGGTTCCACATCCAGAGTGTTCCTGGATGTTTTGTATTCACAGTGTCTGGACCCAGCTCAGCTCCTACCAGGACACTAAAATAAATTGACAGATGTGCAAGACTGTTGCATAAGAACTTCTAAAGCCAAGCTTAGTAGCAGTTAGGCTCTCCTAAGCAGGAACATGTTACCAGCAGTAGTTGAAGGCTGATTTTCTTGGGGGGGAAGGTATCATGTTCTTCACCTCATGGCAGCAGAGCCAGTATTCCCTTCCCTCCATCCCAACCAGGAATGGTTAGGATATGCCTTTCCTGGATTTAATGGGAAAGACATACTCTGTTTCCAGGTGCTTGAGAGTTGAACAACTACCTTTTTTTAATCCTTTATTGATGTCAGTTTACACATTTATTACCCTTTTTTTTGTTTAATATTATCCCTCTGTGCTGTTATTTCTCCAGTGCCAGTTTTCTAACATAATTTAATGATGAATCATGAACGTTAACTTTATATATATATGTGTAATGCTTTATATATATCCATATATATTTATATAAAAATCTGGGTGGTGGCAGGGAGAGACTCATTCCGTCTGCTCCATCTTTTGTTTGGATCTCGTTGCCATAGAAATCCGAAGATCAGTTTTGACAGAGTAAAATACTACAAATTACACTGTCAGATGACCTCATCACCCAGGGCTGGCATGCTGGATTGCAACATTGCTGGAAGGAAAAGCAGGAGCACTACAGGAATCTCTGCTCCATGGAAAAGTGTTATTTTTGGATCCTCCGGGAAGGCGTGCCCAGAAAACCAGCGGCTCCCTGGTGAGTGACTGGTCCCTGAGACCAGCACAACTTTCATCTGCACTTTTTGGTTGGGGTGGGTGATGTCATATTTGGCCCCACATTTCCCTGGCACCTCACTGAGAAGGACCTTCACCCTGTTGAACACTGAGGCAACTGAGTTCTTACAGAACAGAATCAGTCTTTTTTCTTCCTTTTTTGGTGCCATCTCCTACCTGTGTGTCTTTGTATTGATACAGCTGACATTGGTTTAGTGATTTTTTTTACCTTCCTGATCAAATAAGAAGTATTGACCTGTGCCCAGTGGTCTCAAAACTGGTTAATGGTAGAAACAAATTCCATTTAATTCATTAACAGTGTGTCTGGGGGTGGATTCTCACTTACAGTGGGAGGTCTCTGCTGCCTGGAGATCACTGGGACATCTCAGGTTGCTCTGGTTTCTTTTCCATGCTGTTCCCATGCCAAGATGGGCTTTGCTTGGAGAAGTTTTGCAGTTTGACTCACGGAAATGTCTTGTGCAACTTTATTGCTGTGTTAGGAAAAGCCATGTTTAGTACTGGGCTTTATTTAGGAAACCATTTCTGTGTTGGTGTTGTTTGTACACAGGGAGACATGTGTGTGTGTGATTTGGTCATTCTGTTTTCCTCCTAGTCAGGAATATTGCTCTTGCTGTATCTAATCTGGAACTGTAAATTGCAGAGAGGTACAAATCCAAAACAAACATTCTGAAGAATTTGAGTGGAGCAGAGCCCCAATTTCCATTTCAGTGCTCTCTCTGTTGTCCAATTTGTTAAACTCGAGTGGTCCCATGTGTGAGTCATGTGAGTGCCAGAAGTGCTCTCCAGCCATCTGCTTTTTTGGTGAGTCTTTGATTATTTCTCTGTCCAGTTTTCTATCCAAAATTAGAACTGGCAACTCAATTGGTTGATTAATATTGTATTTTTTATAATTTAACATTTCCAGCTTATGGCTAGGAAATGGCAGCAAGGTCATAAAAAGCACAAGGAATAATAATAGTTTCCTCCTGGAATCCAAGTGTACCGTGGTGGAACCTTTTCACCACGTTGTTTCAGCCCTTCAAGAGCAGCAAGAGAATTGAATAGGAAAAGTTTTATTGTTTGTGGGTAACACCAAAATGGAAGGAAGAGACAAAACTGGATTAACTTGATGAGCTGTCCTGGAAATGTGAAGAACTGCCAGGAACTGATAGAGGCATTGGCAGTAGAGCTGAGCTTGGAGCCAGCACTACATTTAAACCTGAACTAGGAGATCAGAAGGAACCACTTGGTGTTTTAGAGGCTGTGGTTTATTTGGGCTGAATTGTAGGGTTTTACATAGTGGTGGTGAGGGGGAAGTTGGCTCTGGGGGAGGAAGGCCAGGGGACTCCTCCTGTCTTTGTACGGCTTCGAGTTCTCAGTTCAAAAGTGGCATCAGGTGACAGAAATGAAAATATTTTAGACACTTGCTGCAGAAATTCTCCTGGGAATGCTGTGAGACAAGCAGAGGGTGAATGAGAACCCTGGATCACTGCCCTTGTATTTCCTGCACTGACCTCCCTGGTGCATGACATGGTGTGATTGGATCTGAGCAGGCTGGGTGTGTCCCAGAGAATCCAGAGGATGTGTGTCCTGGTACAGACTGGACCAGGGAGATTCCATGACAAAGAGTAACTGATTGTTTGTTTGGTTTTGGTTTGGTTTGGTTTTTTATCCTTTTTAAATAAATTGCACCAGAATCTTGGACTAATTAGCAGCATCTTGTGAACACACAGCAGGTTTGCAGGATGATGGTTGGGATCTCGTGTGCCACATGCAGAGGTTTGGTGTTTCCAGCAGCACCTCAAGCTGCAGTGGTGATGGGGTGAGGAAAGGAAGGGCTCTCTGGGGCAGGTTCACCTTGGGCAATGTCCCATCTTCAGATGTTACTGGTGGGGAGGATGGCTGGGCCCCCAATATCTGCCTTCAGTCCAGATATTCATCCTCGGCATCTTTCTCACTGTGCAAACAAAAGGAAAATGCTTCTCACAGCTCACAAAGGTCTCTGGAAACTTAACTCCCTTTGCATTTCCAGAATTGCCCTCTGACTGTGGAGGAGACCCTGGTTTTGTGGCAGAATTATGCAGAAAATCAGGAGTTCCCCAAACCCTGGTGGTTTCCGAGCTGCTGGCAAGGGTGGGAGGCTCTGCCTCGGTGTGTCTGCCTGGGCTGCACCTCTGGCTGGCCAGAGGGCTCAGAGCTGTCAGGATGACACAGAAAAGGCAAACAGCATCCAAACAGACAAATGCTCAACACATGGATAATATTTTTATTTTAAATTATAACGAAGGGGAGACTAATTGAGCAAGTTTGCTGTGGTGGGAGCCAGCCAGGCTGGGCTTTGCTCATATCTGAACTAGGCTCTTGAAAAAGGTTCTAAATCCATCCTGGAAGCTCCACTCTGCCCGGTTTAAGTTAGTGGGGACAGGATTGGGCCCTCTATTACTTTTTTATGTGGTGTTATAAATTACTTTCCCATATTTCCCAAGCCATTATTGAAACTTTTCAAAGCACACCGTGAAATCATCGTGTGCGTTGCTGAAACTATTTGTCCATATGTACAACAGGGTAATACAATATATGTGTTTTGCCCTTTTTGTTTGGCTTTTGCAAAAAAAAAAATAAAAATTGAAGGCTAAAAATCTTCCCTCCCCTTCCCACTTTGATTTTCTTTCCAGGTAAAATGATGGCAGATGTCCTCAGCTCAGTTCCACAGAACATATTGCTTACTGAAATAACCAATTTAGCTCTCTGCCGTTTTACTGTAAACTTGGGTTTGTTTTTTATGCATTTGTGATTTCCTTTAAACCATTTACAAACAGGTTGGAAATATCATTTCATGACTATTAATAATCAGAGCTCTTTATATGGGATTTTAGGAACCTTTCTGTCTAGTAGGAACAACTATATGGTAAATAAACATCTCCAAACTCTTCCTGCTGCCCAAATATTCACTGCATTGTTTTATTATTCCTTGGAGCATTCTGCCTTTAGTCAAAATGTTTTAGTCAGGGATTTAACTGCTAATTGTCATTTCCAGGAAGATTTTCTTATTTTTGTTCCTTTAGGGTACAAAAAAAAGTCGTTTTTGCAGCAGCATTCACTTTCCATAAAAAAATATCAAATGTCACTGGGCAGCTGTGAGAGTTGGGGTTTTGATGCCAGGACCAGAAAGCTGGTTTGCCTGCTCTGCCTGAGCCAGCAGAGCCAAGGCAGGGAGTCACTGTCCTGAACTTGATGGGACCTCCAGAGGTCCCTTTATACCTGAATTATTCCGTGATTCTGGAAGGTTCCTCTCCTTCACCCCCCACCGTGTCCCCTGTGCTGCTCTGGCACTTGGACTCCTGGAAATGAAGATTTGTGGAGGTTCAGTGTGCTCAGTGAAGGGCTGGGAAAAGGTAAAACTGGGCTGTGTGATGGGAAGTGCTGTTGGAAGAGAGGAGAGAGGGGGCTGTGGGATGGACCTTTGGGCAGCCTGGAGCTGCTGGAGCAGCTCAGCTCTGCTCCTCTGCTTACCTGGGATGGGCTTGGCTGTGCCAAACTGCTCCTGTTCCCACGCAGGATGTGTGGAGACAGTCCTTTGCCAGGTCCTGGCTCCTCCTCAATGGCATTCTTCAGTTTGAACCTGTTGTGGCCACCCCCACTGACAGCCTTGTTACCACGGCACAAAACCTGACCGTCTGTCCCAGGTGCCTTCCATGGTTTCCATGGGGAAGTGGGATGGGAGTGAGAGGTTTTGGCTGCTCCTTTCCATCCTCAGGAACTCTGCAGTTCCCTGCTTCCTCAGGGTGCAGCACAGCCCCTGCTTCCCATCAGCCCTGGGGCTCACCTGAGCCCAGAGGGTTATGATTCCCTCCTGGTTGGATTCCCACCAGTGTGGTGAGTTGGATCAGTGCCCTGCATGGGCAGACAAGGCTGGAGCAGCTCTGGGAAGGGAAGGATGAGACCATGGCTGAAGGACAAACCAGCCTCTGGGGTTTAGCTGCCCCTCAGGTGTGTCACTGTCACTGCTTGTTGAGACTCTGGTGTAGATCCCTTTTTTCTCCTTCAGTGGTGTCACCAAAGAAATGTTTGAGACTGATGTAGATCCCTTTTTCTCCTTTGCTGGTACCACCAAAGAAATGATCTCCAAATAATGAAGCAGTTGAGCAGCAATGAATGTGCTTTTAGTGCTTTCTTCCCTCTAAATGTAAAATTCAGGCACTCACCGCTCAGTTATGGCATCAGTGATAACCTGCTCATGAACTGTCCTGGCTTTTTTTTGCTTTCACCTGTTAAAATAAATGACATTTATTAAAACAACCCAGTCACAATAACACCAAACCCATATTGTTTGAGGGCATAAATCCCCCACTTCAATTGCAGGGGCCTGTCAGTGAATTTCTGACACCAAGTTCTGTTATTTAATGAGCACTATTAGGTAGTTCTGTCGCTTAATAGGATTGAGGGTTGGAAATGCCATGTAATATCACTTCACTGGGGAAAAAATCAACAAACAGCCCTCACTAAAAGCCTCGAGTCCCCTTTGAAGTTGGCAAGACCTGCTGTCACCTCAGAGGAACCTGCAGGGCTGTTTTCCCGGGGCTGGAGCTCCACTGGGGGGGAGGCAACAGTTATTCCTGGCAATTTGCAGGAGGGGCACTCAAAAAAAATATCCCACCATCTGACTGGGAAGGAAGGAATAGAGCAGTTGTGGCAAAAGGCTCTTTGCAGGCTCGTGTCCATAATCTTCTCTAGCTCGAGGAAATGGGAATATGGACTGTGCTCGTGGGAAAAGTCCTGATAGCCATGATTGTCACGGGTGGTCACTGGCACTTGGGTGTCACCTAAGACCCCTGGGTGGGCTCTGGGTTACCTGATGGACTGTGGAATTAGTGAGAGCTGGTTTTATCCTGACAAAAATCCCTGTTGATTGCCATGGAGTCACCTGTGCCTTCAGAGTCCCTCTGGACGAGCTCAGGCTGCGTCTTCGTGGGAAGAAGTGTC